CAAAAATGCCGGCTGTTTTTGACCCGCCCCCCCCCCCAGTATCTGTTGACAATACGAAGCAGTTGGTGAATGTAAAAAGGGGGAACGGTAACACTTCAACTCACAAACGGCTACCACACAGGGACAAGGATGACAGAATAAGTTCACTTATTTTATTTAATGTCTCAGTGTCGGAAGGTATCTTATTATAAGGTAGTAAGGGCCAGAAAGACAAACTGACTGAGGCGATACTGCACCTGCCACTCCTGGGGTTCGATCAAATACTCTTAGCTGGAGATTTCGACACCCAATCTCTAAATCTCAGCATCCAGGGTACAACTCCCTCTGGTTGGTTCCAGAGACGACCTGACGCAGCCATTAGAAGCTCTGGGCTTACTGAGCATGTATGCTGTGCCACTAGATGGACTAAGCAGGAGAAGTTGGATTATTTGGTAACAAATGATCAGCTCCTGATCGAAGATGTTAACATCCGTACACCATTGCACAGTCTTGTTTAACATGGTCATCAACTAAACTTTCATACAGTACGACAGAGAGCCCTATCTTTGCTACACTAGAGCGAATTGTGCGCACATGCTAGAGAACCTTCTACATGCCTTATGGCTCCGGGAGTGGCGGAGGCTGACAGTAGATGATCACTGATAAGCAGTGAAAGACATCATCCAGAATGCTTTCCTTAGCAATATACCTCAGTCAGACCACACACCCAGAAACAGTAGAACATGAGTTAGGCGCGGCACCGAACGCTTGCTACAGGCGGAGGGGAGTGCCTGGAATACGTGAGAGGTCTCCTTGAAGGATTCCAATCGTAGTTCTTACTTGTCACTGAAAAAAAGAAGCAATAACGAACTTCGAAGTGATAAGGGACAGTTTCACATGAAGCTAGCTGTCTAAATGCAGGTAAAATCTAAGCATCTGTTTGGGTTCATGATGAAAGGAAGACCTACGAATCAGCGTGTGTTCTCTCAAGGTCAGAAAGACCAAAACCTCACCAATCTAGAGATGGCTGAGAGCTTCAACACAAACTCCACCGATCAGTTGAACCAGGCGTCCACATTTTAAGAGTGCTACAAAGGCCCGATGCCATCTGACGGCTTAAAGAATATCGAACTTATTCCTGAATTAGTACTAAAGAAACCTAAATCCTTACGCCCAGGAAAGTCAACAGATTGTGACAATATTCACCTCATAGTCTTGAAACAGTGTGCAGGCTTCTGCACACTGTTTCATCGATATGTGCTCTGTGTAGGCATCCAACGGGGTTACACAAACTCCCCAGTGAATCGGAACAAGCTACTTTCTCCCCAAACTTCAAAGCATGAGATAGGAAGGACCCAGTCTGTTTCAGACCAGTCTCATTACTACCAATCCTATCGAAGGAAATGGAAGGACTGGTGAACCAACAGATGAGGATGTACATGGATAAGAAGGAAATCCTCCATGAAGCTGAACATGGGTTTCGGAAAGGCAGGTCGTGCGCATCCAATATTTTCATAACTTGGGACAGTTGAACATCCTGCTTGAACTCAAAAATACCGGTGCACGTAATGCTTATGGACTTTGGGAAAGCCTTCGACATGGTACCCCACGCACGCCTAATTGCAAAGGTTGCGGAAACGGGCTTTACTTGCCCAGTCTTATCTTGGCTCAGAAACCAGCTTGAGCATAGAAAGTTTCGTACCAAGGTAAATTAAGTGCAAGCGATTTGGCGAGTCTTAACATAAGGAGTTTCACATGGGACTATCCCAGGTCCACTTCTCTTCTTGATATTCATTACCGACCTGTTAGGCATAGTTCGCTCACCGGCACTGATCTGCTCAGATGATGCCAAGATCTGGAGGTCCATTAGAAGCGAAGAGGATTCGACTGATCTAGAATAGGACCTTACAGCCATTGAGGAATGGACAGTAAAAAAACGGTATCAAACTAAACCAACGAAGTATCACGTCACGTACATCCATCCACAAATGACGCAAACAATTTACACCCCCAATGGAAGTCCGCTCCCTAATGTCTCCTCACAGTGTGATCTCGAGTTAATAACCACGGAAAGCCCCCACAAAAGCCCGAACTATGTAGTTGACGCAGCCAAGGCAAATGCGACTCTTCACCTTATGCGAAGACAACTTGGTGCTATCATCCTACGGTTATTCTTAACGTTATTTAGGACATACGCACCGCCACACCTGGAGGTTCACAACGTCATCACCTCTCTCTCCTCAAAAGAGACGTAAATCTCTCGGATCAGGTTCAGAGACGAGCAAAAAAATGGGTGATAAGGTTGAAGAAAAAACCTTACGGAGATGGATTCTTGATAGACAACTGGGATTATTCTCTCTGAGTTACAGCAGAATAAAAGGTGATCCGGTTATGGAGTACAACATATTAAGCACACCAAACAATCCCAGCGTCAGAATTTCACAGATGCAACACCATCTCTCCTCTCGAGATAATTCTCGAAAAAATTGCGCACCAACGAGCGAACGCTCAGGTTCGTGCACACTTTTTGTCATTAATAGTCGTTGCGACCTGGAACGCTCTCCCAGCCGAGGTGGCCGAAGCCGCTCAGTGGACAGTTTCAAGAAGAGACTTGGAAGACACCTACTCACAAGCGGATTATCATCTTTCTCGTGGACAAGCCGTGCCTGATGCATAACTTTAGACCTGCTAGTTGTTATCATTACCATCTCCTCTGTTCACTAATGAAATCTTTCTCACTTATTTTCTCTGTTTCCTCTCCCTTGCTGACACTTCGGTCCTCTCGCAAAATCTTCACTTCTAATTAATAAACTAAATTATCCATTTATTTACTTAGCTCTGAATCTTATTGGCATTAGAATTTCCTCCATATTATTCTCCACATTGCAAATAGCTGATCTAAGTTCTGGTAATGTGATAGGTGCTGAAATCCAGAAACCCTATTTCCTTGAAACTAACGTTTTCATTTAAAATACGGAAAATACAAACTCACAAACAAATGCTGACTAGAATTGGTGCGGTCGAGTGGCTAGACTGCCATCCACTGAACTCTACGAAACATCTGGAACCGTACCGAAAAGAAAAGAATCGAGCGCAAAGAAATCAATTGGTTTATATTAGCCCGAGAAAAAGCTTTTGGATAACGCAACTTTTGATTTATTCAGCCTTGATATGTTTCGGTTTCACTCCTTTCCTTTGGTAACTTTAGAGTTTCGCTCTTGGAAAATGAAGTGAGGATTTATCGCAAATTTCGACGTGTTCTTAATCTTCGTGGTTAGCTCGTCCAGAAAATCGTTACTAACTAGCGTCTGATGGTTTATAAATCAGAAGGTGAACATGAAGTGTTGAATACATTTATTTTCGACACACCAAAAATAGAACAGCAGACTACAAGCGCTATAATATAAAATCGTCATGCGAGCGCCGAAAAGCAGGCAAGCGAGTGAGTAGGCGAACAAACGGATGAAGCGATGTCGAGAAGGCTAGTGAGCCAACTCTAAGAGATAAAGCATGACCAGGAATTTATAGTCAGACAAAAGTAAGACAGACATGTAAGCGAATAGGAATGCACATACATGAATACAAGCGACGAATAAGTGACAAGGTAAAAAGACAAGTGGGACAAGTCATATGTGCTAGACATTGAATAAGTCACTACAAGATAATTTGATTTTTAAGTAAGAAGTTGTCTTACTGTTACTACAATAAATGTAATTACCCTGATTAAGGCAGTCCTGGAGTCATGAAATACCCAAAGGATGACATTGCTGGACCCCTAGCGACAATGTTTGATGAGTCACAGAGGCAGTCTAAACTGCCAACAAACTGAGAAGATTCCATTTTTAGTCTAGAGCATCTTTATACAATAAAAATTACTTCGGAAGACACTTCCACAAGTTGCTTTCTCAGTAAATAATAGCGAAACTTACTAGTTTCAGTCAAGTCCATTGATATCCATTCGTAAAAGTCATCCATGGAAGCAGTCGAGAAAACCTCCTGTAAACTGACTACACGACAGTTATTTATATCTAGACTCTGATAATAGTACGGTCTCATCGTCATAAGCTTCAGCTGTAAATTATACTTATATTGGCTCTAATCAGTGACCTCCTACACAGTCTGTACTCACTGTTTGCTATCTCGAAACTATTTATTTAGCAAAATGACTCCGAAACACTATCTATAATTTAATAAGAAAATTTTTAGCCATCTATAAATAGCAAATGTATATCATTAGATATTTACGTAACTGAACAAACGTTGACAGAAAATATGTTAGCAATTTTAACATGGCATACCTCTTGTTATTAGAAAATGAATAATAGTAATTATTATTAGGCTGCCACTCCCAGTTCGGATTATTGATCACAGGCGCATTAGTGTAATCAATGTTGTCGCAAAATTATCGGAGAAGACTTCTTGGATCACCGTTCTGAAATATATGGAAGAGAATTATCTTTCAAGAAGCGAAAAATATGGTTTTAGGGAGGGATTTCCACACCTCAGAAAGTCTTCTCATTGCACGAGAACGTTGATGCGCAGCGGAGGACAGTCATATTTCGTAGATGTAATTTTCATGTGACTTTAGTACAAGATAACTCAAATTCTCTGGAGGAATGTATTTGAAGGTGTATATTTGAACTGTAATGTTGTATCTAAGAAACGATTAATGTTACTACACAGAAAGAAACGGTATTACCTAAACTCTTAGATGATAGAGATCCACGATTCGTTAAGAGCAGCCACCTTAAAACCAACAGCGAATCGTAATTTTATCCATGAAGCGAATTCGCTAAAGAGACTTCAATAGACAGGGGCCAAAATAGTGATACGAGTCAGTGACATATATTGTAAAGATAGACTGCACGTTTCGAGGTGATTAGATACTGATACCGACGTTATCGAAGAATTCTGCTGATATATTCAGAGTAGTATTAGACGTTTATAGTATTTTTAATTACGAAGACTTACACAGATCGATTTGCCTGTGACTTAAAATTGTACTATGTGACATCTGTTTTGTGGCGGGTATTTGTCGTGCACGCTACAGAAGGGGTTTTGTCTTCAAGATTCCCAGTCTCAAAATGATCGCGTTACAGCTATGAAAATTACCTATCTTGATGCATCAAAAAGTAAGTTATCTGAAACAATAATAAGCAACCGTCTTGGCGCTTTTATTGTTTCTCTTAATTAACTAGATTGCCAATATCTCTTCAATTTTATAATCAGCTTATAAACCTTTGTTTAATTTATCCATTGAAAACAATAGTGGTTTTCACTGAAGAATTCGTAGAATATATTAAACATATTTTGCCTGAGTCAAATGTAATGCTGGTTATGGATGCTCAGCAACTGCGATTCCTAACACCGGTCTCTAAACTGCCGAGTATTTAATATAGTCGTAATTAATTGGATTTATTACAAATTACCTCATTTCGAAGTATTTTAAATCATTTCAGAGATGATCAGGCAATGCCCTTGTTGAACCAACTGTCATAAGCTCATTTTATTCTCACCAAGCTCCATTTTTTATAGGCATCTCAGTTTGAAACCGCTTCCACTACCGTTTCTTTGCAGCATGGGATAATGCAATAATTAGCTATCCCTCAACCTAATGTTACTAACTTGAGAAGGCAATTCTATATTTATGCACAAGTGGTATTTCCTCGCCACATACATTCCTTTTTTTGATCGGTTTATTTGCATTTTTCAAGTTATCTATTCATCATGCTTAACGGGCTAATATTTCACAATGAAATATAAAACTGCCAACCACATATTGATGGTCGTAATTCACTGGTGCAATTCCGGTTATCTTCAGTAAACTTTTGAGCTCACAACTCTGGACTGTGTCAATATTTAATTACTTTCAAATAGACAACTCATATATCAGAGTCCGTACTTGGAACAGCAAATACAATAATGTTGTTGCTTTTCCCGTTTAAATTTCTGCGGGAAACGAATAACATGTTATGCGTTTCCAGAATAAATGTTATTTTCAACAAAATAAATGAATATCTTATATGTGAATAGGTGTCAAGTCAAATTATCGATTTCAACGTTACATGGGTTGACGTAACATGAAACCCTTGACCCACGTTTACAACAGTTGGAACCCATCAATAACATTCATTTGATTTAATCATTACTAAAGATTGAATAAATACTATTCAGATCGATAAACGTTAAGTCACGGTGGTTACAATCCCTAACACCTTGTGATCATGACTACTAAGATAATGCCTGCAGCTCAGAAGTATCTATAAAAATATGCACAAGGGTTATTAAGCCTCACTGTTTTTAACACTAATATATGTTTATATGAAAGAAATGTTTCCGCGTTCGATATTCCAAAACATTTAACTCGTAAGCAGTGGTGAAGTACACAGAAAATTATTTGAGAGATCTGGTGTTACGAATTTTACGTTACTAATATGTAGTTGTATGTGCAATGTATATGACCGCTCTTTTTTGTGTAATACACTAGAGGCTGACAACCAGTTCGTTTGATGGAATAAAGTATATTAAAGCTACTTTTGTTGTTTGTTTTTCTCCAGATACAAACGTTTTAACGCGTACCAACAAAAAGTATGGGTCAAACACTCACCGATTAAGACACAGAAGACGCAACTGGAGCTCTCATACTTCTCGTTTATCCCCATGCATCGAGGAATCGTCTAAAGTTGATTGTATGGTAACCAATTCGCTAGATGGTTCTCCTGAACGCTTGTTATCGAATGTTCCATCACTAGAAAGCAGCAGTTCGTGCAGTTTAAGCTCTTTTTATGGGGTCTCTGCTCCATTTATCCACCCGTCCATGCCTCCTGGTCCACCAACGTCACCAGTTCCAAGCCCACCGCCCACTCTTGTAACACCTAGTGCTGCTGTGGAAGCCCCAGCAAATCCTGTTGGTGAGTCTCGACAACCCAACTCTGTCCCTAATCTTCCTGCCGTACTCCGTAATCGCTTTAGACGACGTCGAAATGCTATTTGTGATTCCTCTGCTCTTGGACAGGGATTAAAAGATTTCTTCGCTTCCTACGTAGTTTCTAATCTAACTGATTCCATGACATCATCACTAAGTTTGAAATCATCTGCATGTCCTGTGTTTGAATCCTCATTACAACCCCATGTTACTAACCCAGTTTCACATTTGGCCCATAGCGATTGTGTCATATCCCCTGTGTGTTTGATCGATAGCGAGTCACAATCTGACAGTCTGTGATACTAATTTATCCTACCAAGTTTCAGTTATCATCAGACAGTACTTAGTTCAATTTTTGTAGTTTCGTAAAATAATTTGATAAATTGCGTTATTAGATAATTTTATCTCAACCATTGGCATTTGTTTACCCTTAAGTATGTATGCATACTTTACTTGTATACGAGTCTTTCTGTACTCATTGCTCATTTCATGTAATTTTTTCTTAAATATGCTTATAATTTTCACTTATCACCAGCTAAAAGCTGTGATTTATTAAAAATGTCTTCAAAGTATTATGGTTTTACATAGACTGTTTTTACATCTCGGCTACTTAAGTAAAAAATTTAATTTCCTGTCAGAATGGATATCAGTCATTCTTTTATTTTTGAAAATTAAATGTAATTAAGTAGAATTTCCAAGATAAGTTCTTGATCGTCATTGACTTACAACGTTTCAATGAACTTCATTCAAGACGATGTCGTTTCCACCATCTGTCGGGATTTAATATACTAGATACTAAAACGTATGCGTTCACATAATTTCAACTACGAAATTGTGAAGAAGTGAAGCGATGCTAAGTTGTAAGTATATCTGCTATTTGGTAAGACAAAAAGCAGATACGATTACTTTCATAGCAATCTCACGTGATCGAGAAATCGCTTCCTATCATTTCTGCACGTTAAAACACCACACTAATCACTAGAACTATTTTGTGATTCAGATTTCCCGACCGTAGATTCTACCTTAACATAGTGGTTGAACCCATCGTGATGACCCAACCGAGCTATATTGACTGGAATATTTGTTCCTTTAGGTTCTACCATGCCAGGCAGGTCGATTAGAGAACAGTGAAACTAAAAGTAACAACTGAGGGTGAAGTCGTGCTGTTGACTGCCGAGTGGTGTTTCCTTCGGGTAACCAGCAATCTGCAGCCTTCCTAATAGGAAAGTAAGGGGTTCGAAAAGGTCGACCCTAAAAATGTCACACCTCAACTTATTCCACGGATTTCCGTCTCTGACGGTAAGGCTATTTGAAGGGCGGAGCTGACACAATACAATCTTCCCATAAAAAGACCGTGCGTGACCTGCCCTTAGCAGTTGTCCCTTGGGCTCTGCGGTCACGCTTCCAGGTCGCTCATACCAACGCTAATCCGATTACCTTTTCAGGTTCTTCAAGACCAGATTTGTAGTTAGCAACTACTGTTCTCATTTTATCAAATACATTTCAACACAGGATTGTTATACTGTATATTATATATATATTAGATCACTGTTAAGTAATTCTAACACTATGTATGAACAGTTGTACATTGCAAACTGTCCAGAATGAATTCCAGTTTGAGTGGTGATCAATTTAGTCATGTACTGAAAAGTTACTATTTTAGAAGTGTCTGTAAATGAATGTATTAAACTAACCAGCAGTAAATTCTATCCAACGACTATATTAAACTCACTGAGCAGGGTTCTATAGATGAGGTTCTGAGCGTTTAAAGTATAAGTGTCAGTAATTCTACACGCTAGCACAAATTGAAGTGGCGGGAGACAGGACCTAGGATGAAACAGTATAAAGTCAGGCGCTTCAAAATCGTTATCAGGATGCGAGCAATGGCAATACTTAACTGTGTTATGTTACACCCACCTAGGTGCATGCGAGAACCCACAGAATACCTGTAGAGTGAACTGTACTAACCCATTATACTGGCCAGACAAATGAAACTAGGTACATAAGCGTTTCTATTCAATTGTCTCATAAAAGACGTCCGTATCATGATGCCAAAATGTCAACCAGTGGTTAACTGGTCGGTTTAAGGTAGCATGCAGGCATCCATGCAAGCCCGAAAATTCTGTCCGCAACCGGTCATAGGCAACCTATGTGAATACAACTTTACTTACTAACAGTTACGGAAAGACTTTAGGTAAGCTAGAAGTCATTACTTGTTTCACATTTTTCCATAGTACAAAAACAGGATAGTCGTATAAATCCGGTATTCCATAGATGGAAAGTCAACTTTACTGGTGATGGAGAACTGTAAGGTGGGAATCCTTCAGCCGAAATACGGCAACTAGATAGCTAATTTTGGTCACTATATCACCGTTGTATCCAGTTAGTCACACGGCCTCTGTGACTGATGATATACCAGATTCCTTAACCAGTGTTCGATCCGTAATAAATTACCACCATCTACATTTTTCTTCAAATATTGGGATTTATTGCAACTATTAACACAGAATAATAGGTTTCCACCAACCTTGTTTGTCAAGTCGTGAAATTATTTGAATTTTATTTAATAGCCTGGGACTTAAAGTCCGAGGGTGAAGTTGTACTGCAGACTTTACACAAGTGCGACAATGAGATTTTCTCAAGAAATCATCTCCCCACAACGAAAGAGATGGCTAAGAAAAATCAGTCCAAATAAGTAAATATCTTGCCTCGTGTATATCCAACACCCGAGTAAGAAGCAAAGCTAACACATCCGAAAATACTCACAGAAAAGTTGTGTGTAACCGGTTTAAGCAGCTGTAACTACGACTTCCTATTCTTCAACTAATTATTGTGTCAACCCTCAAAACACATTATTTCCGAATTAGCTAAAAAGCTAATGATTATATATTTGTACAACACAAGTCTATTACATATATTTAATAAAATCATAGTTCAAGTAAATACCTAACTGAAAACAAAACTTGTGATTGTATATCTATTATATATATCTGATGAAATGACAAAAGCTTTATCATTGAACTCTCTTGTTGCTTTTAATGAGAAACTTCAAAACGTTTGAAAAGCCTATATTCTGGCATACAGAAGCAATAGATTGGAAAAGTGAGAAATAAGATTACACTTTCAAATATATATATATATATATATATATATATCTGTATACATATAAAGAGAGAATACCAGGCTACACGTTTTAACCTTAACCCCAACCCTAGCCAACAAAAGCAATGAAGAATGATCCGGACATGCACATATAAATGACAGATAAATGGCAAACAAAAAGCTAACAAAACGAAAATTACCAGTACAGATGAATGAATGTTTTGTTAACATGGTGGAAAAAACAATAGAAACAATTAGAGAAAATAAACAAATAACAGGGTAGCGTTAGTCATGATCAGAGAAGTATTTTCTTAAATATATCGGTGTTAATAAAATAAGTTGATTGATTGATAGAAGAAGCAAAACAGTAAACAATTAACCTCTAATCCAAAAATGGTTTTAAATTGAACAGAAATTTGTTAATTATTTTTATTTGTAAATAATGAATGTAAACTGGAAGAAGTTGATGAAAATCAAATCTGTTAAATTTGAAAAAAAAGAGGCATGACATCTAAAATAGTAGAAAAATAGCACCTGGTTACATTAACATATGAAGAAAAAAAAAGAAAACGAATTATATAATCGAGCAAGTAGCTGTGTTTTGAATCATTATTATTATTATGGTTGCGAGTTAGAATAACAGAAACATTTTTATTTCGAAGCAACGAAAAATATCTTTTTTCCCTATGCAGGTGTGTATTATTTGTTATATTATTCAATTATTCCATCTATAGAGAAGAAATATAGGAAAGAAAACTTTGTCAATAACAATTTTTTATAAGAGAATGCAAACAATAAAGCTACTATATTCCCATTAGATTATATATTGAATGACGCAAATGTATTTATTCATGACTAGATGCATTTTACTTGTATTCTTTCATTTGCATTATCTAGATTCAGTGTATGAAGTTATAAAGTAACAACTAGATTATATACACTGATTACTTACAAGAGATATTACTTCCTTAACCATTTAAACAGTCAGTACATAATTGTATTTGATTAAAATTGATTTAACTCCTATAATTTGCTTGCTCGTAATCACACTACATCATAGGACTTACAAATGTGTATATAGTTTACAATTTTCTGTATAAATATTGACTTAATGAAAGATTTCATGAAGCAGTTCTGAACGTTTACCACTTTTCGTAAAAATATGCTTTGAAATAAAAAAAACATTATTCATAAACCAAATTTTAGTTCATGGAAAAAACAAATGATTAATAACTTGTTATTGTTGTGTTGGTGTGCATTTTGCTTAAGGGATTGATTCTATGAGTTGTTGTTGTTGTCATTAACACATTAATCTTGATCAGCAGTTTTGTTATAAATTCTCTAAATTGTGAGTGGAATCTAAGGTTAAACTTCATCACCTCATTCAATCGATATAAAATCTAATCATTATAGACTTTGGTGATTGTAATTAATGTAGAAAAAAAAATTCCAGACTGACATGATACTGACAACTTCCTTAGAATTCCTCTCATATTTCCATAAGTTACAGTCAATAATTAAGAATTGAGACTAAGAAAACATCCGATATGTATATATGAACGGAGTTACATCTACTCCAAGTAGCTCAATTGTCATAGTTGGATTCGTGATATTGATTATTGAGATAAAGCAAATTTAATATTCATGTATTAAAAACCATTACAGTTTATAACCCAATCCAAATTGATTTTGGTGTCATTAATATATACGTGTCTACTGAAAACAAAAACATTGCTTGTAAATAACTGTGTGATGCAAATAGATCGTCTATAAATTCCGAAAGAATAAGAATTCTTCACAATTCAACTTTTTACGATCATTGTCATCGTTGAAGAATTGATTGTAATTGCTATGAGTAGTAGTGTAAGGAATTTTAAAGTCTGGCAGTGTACTGAGATATATATTGTAGATCCTTGTTCAACCAGTTATAATATAGTTTAACATAGCCTTCAATAGCGTGAACATGTGTTTTAGGCACACTGTCTCAATACTATTTTAAAGAATTACTTTCTGACAATCAGACTAAGTGGAAGAGAATAAACGGTAAGGCAGTTAAATTAAAACTATCATAACACAAATGTTATCTGCATTAGTTGTCAGAAGATATCTATATCCAGTTTTTCTAATATACACTAAGCATGAAGTTTAAAATAAAACTATTGACAATTTATCTTAAAACTCGATTCTTAAGTTGGGTTAAAAAAAGACACGGTTGAAGTTTGATGATTTAAAAAACAACCACCTATCCATAAAATAATAGCATAATTAATCAAATGGAAGTAGAATATGAGACAGACAGAGAAAGACAAGATCAACATACCATAAAATTCATTTTATAAGTGTCGCTTAAAATGACACAGACTTCATGAGTAATTAATTATTAATCATTAAATAGAATGTTTTGCGTAAGCAGATGTTTTGTACATAATAAATGTGAATAAATAAATTGATTGAGAATCCTATTCATCACTTTCATTGAGTTTATTCAATTTTTTGCCTATCATTTTGATTATTGTCATTCACACCAACATCATCCATATTTTCTATCGGTGATTGATCTTCAGTCTGAAATGTTTCCATACATCCTGTAGTATTTTGATCATAACAAGCATTGGATCGATGAATCATGATCATATTATCGTTATCATATGTTGTATTAACTTGTAAATTACCCGGTAACGAGTATGTGGATACATTTGACGAACTGTAATATAAATTTTCATTTATTGGTGAATTGCTTAAACTTTCATATTCCGATAGATAAAGAGTTGTTGTTTTTGCTGTTATGGTCGTTGCTGCTGCTGCGGCTGAAATCGAATTAGTGAATTCATCACCAATCACAACAGAATGAGAACGTTTCATTTTCAATTTCTTTTTACCATGTTTTCGTTTAGAGCTTTTATTCGGTAATAAATTAACATTTGATAATAAATTTTCATTTTGATGTATTATAATATTTGCATTGGTGTTAAGTGTTTTAGAATTTTTTCTTAATTTAATTAATGAATTATTCAATAACTCGGAAGATTCATGTTTCGGTGAAAAATTGTCTACAGCTGATGATGGTGAAGTATCTTGACTGGGAAAATCTGCTTCAGTTAACTCTGAATGAATTGGAATACCATCTGTACTAGGTACACGAAATACTACAGGCCCACTAACTCCACTAACATTAGTTGAACCTGATGAGACAGCAGTAGATTTAACACTGAACTGCCATACACCACGATTACTGCTAATAGTTGTCAATTGTTGTAGATTGTTAGAAGAATGTTTACCTGTGTTCCAGTTTGTTTCTTCATCCTGAAACATAACAAACAGAATTAAGAAACAATTGGAGGTTTGAAAAATACCACCCGCCACTTAAAAAAAAATAAACCGTTAAATGAAGTGTGAAAATTATCCAATTGTTTCAATGTAGCTAGCTAGCTACTCCTCCCATCAAGATTAATCCATATTTAGGACATAAGAATTCAAAAAAAACAAAACCGCTCTAATTTTCTCAATAAAATGACAAGGTTATTATTATTCTATGTAATTCATACATTAAATAGATCAATACACAAAAGAAAAAATGTTGAAAACTCTGTCATGCCTACTAATCCACGTAGTTCAAAATTGTTAATACTTTGAAACAATGCATAATAAAAAAATTAACAATGGTTGAATGGAAATGAATTGTTAAACAAAAGAAGAAAATATGAATAATAAAGTAAATAACTGTAAAGTATGTGTACTGTATTCAATGTTGTTCGGCAAATTTTGTTCAACTTTAATAAAAGAGCAACTATTCTACAATGATTTAATGCAATCAAATGTTAAGAGAAAATATCGATTCTCCTCATAATCATATTAGTAAGATATACCTGTAGTATTAGGGAGATTGGTGTTCTCTGACTGATTTGATTCTAACATCCAGCTTCACAGTCAAAGAAGTTAACTCGGGGGCTGTGACAGCTCATCTGTAGGACTTAGATGTGCTTAAAATTGACCGAACACGGGGTAGTAGCTAACGTTGTGTATAACAACTTGATAGACAGAATTCTATCAGCACTAAAAATAACTTGACAAGGGAGTGTTTGAAACAGAAGACAAAAGCATTAAACGATTACTTCAAGCTGAAACTTTTTCAGACACAGACATTCAGACTGCGTAATTGATTAATTACAAATAGTTGAACTGTTTCAAACTCCAGTGATATGTTTAACAACAGATCTGGTTATTCACAACTACTGAAATTTTTGTTTTTAAATAGAATTAAAGATCTATCGTTATGGATGTGTCATTAACAATCCTGTTGTGCATTACGTATTAACATTACTCCCATACCCTCCAAAAAAAGTAAAAAAACAGCTTTTGAATGATCAGTAAAGTTGGTTATATATCATTGGAAAGAACTAGAAAGCTTTAATAATGCATAAAACTAACTTTTCTCTCATAGCCGCAACAATACCAATTATAAACAATAAATTCACTGCTTACTGATTGACTTACTAAAGAGGTAGTTTCTGAAAGTGCACCAAGAAACCCTGACTAGTAGACAGCTAATTCAATCATAAGGATGGACATTCTTAACAGTCAAAAGGTAGTCAAACTACATTACTGAGGGTTTCGAGTTGTAAAACCTCATACACTTTATTTTGAAAATTTAGTTCACGTATTTTCCATCAACCACGGAATTTTCAGGTATTAAGTCTCATTTGAATAACGATGAAAAAAGTGACGTAAACTAACAGAAAATATTTAAGTGCTTCACATACATATAATAGATAATTAGATAGTTCAAACATACAGTAAAATGAATTGCAATACCAATTTATCAATTCAATATGGGAAAAAAGCTATACAGGTCAAAGGTAGCTGTAGCCGAAAATTCCTCTTGTTCTTTTGCTGATTCAAGTTAAATACAATACACACAGAAGAACAAAAATCAATAAAGGAATTTTAATGATAATCAAGCAGATGATAAAATATTTACTTGTATAGCTTCAGCAATCGACTGCGCCAAATCATCGGTACCACGACCAACTAAACTAGATAAAGAACTGCCCAAACTTGAATCTTGATAACTCCCTTTTTTAAGAAGTAGGAAAAGGAAACAACAAACAGTATAATAAAATATGCATTACAACTGAATATAAAATGCAATAGATAAACACTTTCCCAACCCCAACCGGTAAAAGATAATCAACAATAAATGTTACTAATATCTCTAATCAAGTTAGATATTGACTAAGCGTGTCGGGAATGAAGCAGTTTTCCACTAGAAACAATGAAGGGTGAAAAAATACCGCGGACTGATTGAAGTTAGAAATACACACGCTGAATTATGGCTGAGTGATCTAGAAGTTGGGCGATCGCGTGCAAGACCACAGGTTCTAGGTTCAGTCTTGAGCGGGGTCGTGTATACAAATTGCTGAGATGTCGCATATTACGAAGAAGCAGATGTCTAATTCTTTTTAGCTTTTAATGGGTGTCTAACTTAGGCTTGTTAGTAATACTAATAACGATCAATAATCCTAATTAACCTCCTCTGTACTGATCACCATTAAATTATTAATGTGATTTTAGCATTCAAATATAAAAAATAAGTTATTCTGATGAAAAGTTTTGTCACAGTACTCTGGACGTTTCTGTAAACAGCATTGTAAATTTCACCAAGGCCAGTCGATTTATAGGTGTAGGGTAGCGGGTGCGTACTACTGTCGAAGTCTCATACTCGGATGAAACGGTCGTATAGTCCTTCCACGTTTTTAATGGTAGTTTAGCTAAGATCAGTTCGTGATTTCAACTGTAAAAATATCAATATAATCCTCATTTACCAACGTTAGCCAGAAAAGATAGTCAATCGAAATACAAGCATGAATGAGGCTGACAAAACCTCTGAAGAAAACAACTAATACTTATTCAACCCCAGACTAAACTTATACTGTAACACAAGAGAAAAGGCACAAAGTACGAAAAGAGTGCTTTACTTCAAGGTTAGTTTATGTAAGGATACTTAGACTCATGACGTTCGGCTTCTGCATGTTCCGGGAACCATACCAAATATAATAGCGGTATAGCTAAATATCCTGTTAGAATTGTGACACGTGATTCTGAATTATGTAGATGTAAGGGTGATTGGATAAAACATTTCCTAGCATTCCAGAGACCTCTAGAGACTTTTCCAATGGATGTTTTAACACTCACTCCCCAACAGTTTCAAAAAACCATTCCAACTATATTGGATTAAGAAAAATTTGGGTAAAAATTATCATCAGACTTTACACAATGGAAACATCCCTTTTCAAATCAATGAAAATTTTCACATAAGCAGTTGACAGAACTCAATCACTCAAGAAAGATTACACTATGGTCACTTCAGATTTCTTCCTCTTTTTGGAAAAAAAACACAACAATATTCAGTGCTTTCATATCAGCTACTTCAATTACTGTTTTGATCTCTACTAAATTCGTAAAAAGGGCCCAATATACATGAAATTGTCAAGAATGCTTAAGAGAATAACATGACATGTTTTTTTTACATTATGGTAAGCAAAATAGAAGCTATAAACAAATTCACTAAAAATGACAATGAGTTTCAGTTTTAATGTTAAATTTTACAAAACAAACTGTAGAAAATATTTAGCTGTTTACTATGAAACAACTTATAATATACATGATTCATCAGTGTACATTATTACCACCAAGTACACAAAATTGCTGTTCACAGTTTATCAATGAGAAAAGAAATTAGATAATGTCTACTGAAGTAATCAAGTAATATTTTGTTCAGTGATTTAAATAATAATATATTTGAATTGAAGTCAATTAACTTTGTTTCAAACAAGTAACTGATATCTATTATTGCTCATGTAGCAAGCAACTCACATAGATTTTGTACTTTTATCATTGTGGAGCTTGTATGCACATGTACGTTTGGGCATTACTTACCACTCACACCCTTTTAACATGCAATCGAAAGAAAAATATATACAACTATACCTAGCTACTGAAGTGTATTACTTGACTAATATGAAAACTGTGATGACACTGATTACTTGCGTGAACGTGAACAATAAAACATATACTGAGAAAACAGTAACATATGTACGCTATAAAGTCAACTGTAACAATAGTAACGATCATTACAGAGATACAATAAGAACAAACAGAAATCAAATAACACAAAGAAGAAATGTCTTTTACAGAAAATCTCTATACAAACAACTAGGAATCAAAGCAATTTAAACAGATCGATAACAACAGTTTAGTAACTGAATCTAACAACTGAATTCAAAAAGTACTTTGCTACAAGAAGAAGAGATTATTTAATTGAAATCTGGGTCAGTTTTTTTTTTCTAATGACCGGAAAATCTAATCATAAAAACCCCAAACATGAAGAAAAATATAAACAAATTACAAATACACATCCCGTGCCTTTGATCAAAATGTCTAATCCACAAAGTAGTGGAAAAATGTTAGGAGCTGCAGTTTCATGGAAGCAGGTGACTAACAATAGAGTGAGAGTCAGAGTTTCCGTACCCAATAACCCAGTTAAGGCGCGGAACATTGATTTTCGTCCTCTCAATTATGTAAACAACGTACCCGCCAAGAGACGACAATGAGTAGGACCTCTTTACCAGTAACGTGGCCGTATGAAAGCATTTTAATAGGGAGCGTACTGTCTATTATCAGCCGTACAAGAGCATTTGTGGGCTGTTACAAAGTATTGACTATTGTTCGCTATCTGTAGAAACTAACCTTATATACTTGTTACAACTTATCAATAGAACATATTTTTTTAATTGCGTTCAAAATAGTTTGTCAATAACAACTAGGAATGTAGTGCTAAACCAAAGAGTGGTCAAATGTTAAAGATTTCCACCAAAAGCTGCATACAAACATTACTGATAAGTTTTAAGAAGCAGAAGAACCATAACCTTTATTCTATGTTGGTTACTTATGAACGTCTAATATTAAAATGACAGACTTAAAATAATATCATTTTAAAATTTGTGAAAATTATGCGTGAAACAATCTCAGTGATTGATATCTTGGATAATTTAAACATTTCGTCCAGCTATCTCGTCTGAACTTCTGGATTTATCACCCTGAAGAAATCTATACAAGATACCTGGATGAAATATTGGAATTATCTACTATTTCAATCACTGGGTTTATTTCAAATATAATGTCTTCTATATATTTGGCATTCAATTTTTGTCAAATTATTCATTCAATTATTAATAACAACAATTCATCAGTTAACTTACCACCTTCAATTACAATTGGTTCACCAGTTGGTCCAAAACCGCCAGCAATACTAAGTGGACGAGTTGGTTCACCGGATGAATTACGCCATCTTAGTTGTGCACTACTAAAACCAGCATTGGAATCTAGTAATAAACCTGATGGTAATCTTGGTAACATGATTGTTTTAGATGAAGCGGTATTACGACTAATTGCAGCCAAAGTCATATTTGGATGATGTTGAGGATGTGGATGAATAAAGGTATGATGAACAGAAGAAGAAGAGGATGTTGAAGAAGAACCTTGATATGGAATCATATTTAGACTATTATTGGAACCGTCTAATGATGGTATGAATGTGGCAGGATATCGATCTTTAATTATGAATTCATTACATACAGAATTAGTCATATCTACTATAGGTGGTAATATAAACGGAGCATTTAATGTGAATGCGTCTAATAAAGTAGGATGTAATGCTGTTGTTAAATTTCCGTCAATAGAGCCCATCTGTGTATTGCTCTCTGATGAGCTATTACTAGTGAATGATAAATATCGTAAATCACACCCACTCCAATCACGCTGAAAAGAATAGAGTGTTAAACAGAAGAACAATAATAAATAAGTTATCACCTTTTCTTTTAATAGAAAAAAGAAAAGATTAATAAAACATAAATTCTACAACAAAATGAACACATGACCAAGGAAGAAAATCATACATTTAAACACGTATATAAAAAAAAAGTACTCAATTACAGATACATAATGATTATGATTTAGAAAGTTTTAAAATATTTGTCTCTGGAGATTGAAATAATTTATTGTTGTACTTAGAGAACAAAGAATTATGAAGTTGAATAACAAGCATACAGAAGTCAATAAAATTAAAACTAACATGAAAATAACAAGTTTTAAAATTTAAATGAGTGAAAACAAATAATCAATATGAATTAAGTTTGATGTGGATTTGTAAGTGGAACAAAATGATATGCACAAGACTGAGCAAAGTATGCAGATAACACAGATATACCATTGTGTTCAAATGATTGTTTCCTATAAGTTTTACATGATTGTAAAAGTCTATTTATAAATTAGACTATTTATTACTCGAAAATATTTTCACACAAGCAAGTTGAAAAGCGATTTAAAAGATTGTATTTTAAAAAGCTTAGAACAGTTTAACTCCGCCTAGAGCCCTTTAAGGTTATTGCTGCTCCCAAGCCCGGATAAAGGAGGAGGGTTGAGCATGGTATCAGCTACCAAATCTCATAGAAGACTAACTCGCTACGAAACGTGAACCAGAAAAATAATTCAAAACATTTAAACTCTGCCCTGGGAAGTAGGTCTCCAATGAGGAGAGTTATGACGTCTCATAATGAAAGACGAGTTTCTTCAGGAGTCACGAGGTCGACGACCCTTCTGACAACTACAGCAACCATTCATTTAGGAATCGATGCAGATGTGAAGGCACAGATCAGAAAAGCGAGGGTGGCATTTCTAAAATTGAAGAACATCTGGAACTCTAAACAACTACCGACTAACACCAAAATCTAAATTTTCAACACAGACATCAAAACAGTTCTACTATATGGAGTGAGAATTCCGAAAGTCATCATCCACAAGATACAGGTGTTTATTGACAGTTGTCTACACAAGATATTCCACCTTTGTTAGCCAGCAACAAACTACTGTGGGAGAGAACAAACCAGATTCCAGCGGAGGAAGAAATCAGGAAGGAGCGCCGATAGTGGATAGGACACACATTGAGGAAATTACCCAACTGAGTCAAAAGACAAGCCTGTACCTGGAAACCTCAAGGCCAAAGGAAAGCGGTAAACTAAAAAGCACACCTCACCGAGAATTAGAGACAGATATAAAAAGAATGGATCGTAATTGTAAACGACTGGAAAGGAAAGTCCATATCAGAGTAGGCTAGAGAGCGCTCATCAGTCGCCTACGATCCACAGGGGTTAACAGGTGTAAAGTACGTAAGTTATGACAGTTTATTCTGAAGATGAGGAGTACACGACTAAGCAGGCCACAGAATTCATACCCAATTTAGTTAAATTCCATTCTGATGACGAAAAGTTCAGAGTTGTTAATATTTGATTTTAAAACAAATGAATAAAAATAAACATTAGTCACAAGGAGTACTGAATTCCGAAAATAAAAAATATATCTTCTTGGTATCTAACACATATGACTAACAATAAAACAAATACTACTGAAAAAATCATGCATTTTATCAAAACAACTGCTTTCTAGCTTAACTCCTACTAGCTACGATAATATTTTGTTTTTTTTCAGTTAACTACGATTCTAATGACCTTGGTTAAACTGTTAAACAAACATGTATCTACACAAATATGTAAACGTTTACTAGTCCCGTGAATGGTACAGCCTTCAAAATAAGACTATCTGCTTGGTCAACAATATCTAACGCACTAGAGATTATATGGCCGGTCAAGTAAATTTTGTGACCACGTGACCCATAATCAGAACTGTCATTCTTGATAATCAGTCTGAAAAAACGTACTCATTGAGAAAAAATTACTCTGAAAAAAGCACGAATCTCTCATAGACTGTGACTCATTCTTGCCAGAAAGTTTTTAAAATAAACAAATTTGATTACCAATGTGTAATATGTTAATTATCTTAGACATGATTTAAAAAGTTTCAAAGACTAAACATCTAAAAACAAAACACGTAACGAGTTTCCAACGTTCTTAAATCATAACATTTGATTCTGACCGATTTGGTCTCGTGTGTTTTTATGGATATAGAAGGCTTGATTGGTTGTCGTCAACCTTCGTCACTTATGGCGTCAGCGAAATATCCGTTTGCTAACCAAACGACGAGCATACTGCGCAGCAGCTTGCTCCGTCCTACTTTATGGCTGTGAAACATGGCCAGTCAGAGTAGATATATGTTTTCGATAATAGGTGTCTTGCTCGTGTATCCTGAGACAACTGAGTAAGCAATGCTATTGTTGGGAAGCGGGTCCTACGTAAGGATAGCAATGCAACAGATGAAGTGTAGAAACCTCATAAGTTGATATGGTTGGGGCATGTATTACGAACGCCTAACCACCGATTGCCTCGTTGAGCTATGTTTTGCGATGTAGGAATAGGCTGGAAGAAAGCTAGGGACGGCCAGACCAAAACATGGCACAAATCCATGAAGTCACTGACAAGTGGACTGAGTCATGTTGGTAGATGTCGACTACCTGGTTGGGGTCCGCGAGATGATAATAATCGATAGTAAAGGACCTTGAATGACATGTCTCAAAACCGTTTTCAACGGGACAGGTGCATTCATTCATTGTGTTCTCTCAGATCCTAACCTTCAGAGTTCCTCACCACTTTATCTTTTTCTGTTTAAGTTTATTTCACTAGATTCTACTTCTTGAATAATATCTTCTAATCCTAACCTCTCCGACTACTGCTAATACCTTTACTACCTCTACTACTATGGGCATTGAATCGACAATTACATCTCAGTGCTAATGTGGTATGGCAAATTGAACTGATGTACGTACGTACGAAGTTCTATGTTGTTGTTGACTGACTGACTCATTGAAATCATAACATTTAACATTGAACAAATGAAATTAAGGTAGATAGTGTAATATAAACGATAATATCAGCTGTTTTCTATATACGTTTCATATTCCTTAGAGTAAGCTAATTAAATTAATCCAATTTTTTCTGCACCATTAATGGTTTTAATAACGAGAAAACTTTTAAATAAACTTAACACGGAAAGTATAAGTTATCGATTCATGTTAAGGTAAAGCGTAAATCAGTTGGTATTTAGTTACTAAATAATACAGATGATTCATTCACTCAATTTCATCCCCTTAGTGTATGACATTTTCATATTTAGTATAATATGAAATAAATGAGTAAGTAGTCACATTCATTCTACTGAATCATAAATAAATATTATTCAGAAGGTTTATGTAACTTTGGTAAACTTTTCAGTGAGAAACACTCACATGATTTCTTGGTATACCGCCTACGAAACTTTAAGGCATTCCTTAGGCGAACTATATTTGAAATAACACTCTACTAGACGATGAAATGAAAGGCAAATAAAAGGATATTAAACTGTGAATAAACTCAGTAAATAACAAAGTAAATTCATGTATAACCTAAGGAAGAATAGTAGAATAGTTCAATGTTTCTTTGCAAAGGTAGTGTAGTTTATAAAATTAAGAGAACGTAAAGCGGATGTTGAGCGCCGTAACCGGGTCGGTGAGTACAAAGGGTTCATCTAGGGGAGTTGGGGAATCCTGGTTACAAGCTGAGGGTGTAGATGGGATCCAAGATCCTGAGCAAACAAAAGGCATGTGTACCTATTGTTTGTCTTCGAGTACTATGGGACTGCCATTGCTCTACTGCCATATGGATTAGATTTTTGGGTCAAAGGCTTGGAGAGTGGTTTCCTAAAACAACCTACCTATTTTGGCTTGAGCAGCCAAGCAGTATTTTAGGCCACTCACAAATTCAATAATTTATGTGGCGCATACACATTATGGTGTCCCTTTGTACCGATGTTTATGTCTGAATAGATAAATACCTAAATACTCCACATTTAAAACATTTAAAGACAGTAACGATAATGGCAACTAATAGAAGGATGCGAAAAATAAAAAGTGAGTAAATTATTCTCTGATGAATTACTTTGTGAATTTTCTGATCAACTGTGGCGAACAGAGTATTTTTATGGATTTATTGCTAGCAGCGTAGGCAAAGAAATCACAGAACCTTAACAGATAAGAAAACCCGAAATTTCGAACACATAAAAATAACATTAGAGCGAATGTGAAACAAACAGACTTTCCACTGTTGTGAGTTATATAAGCGAACAATTTATGTGCCCCTCCCTAGTAGTTAAAGACAGATCTTCATAAAATTTGAATTTTCTAACTACTAATTCATAACATATTAAACAAAATCACAAGTTAAAAACATACAGTTTATTACACTCTTACTTGAAAATAATCGATAATGTTTGATTTTTATTTGTATAACTTTGCATATATACCAAACAGCAAATGGATAACATTGTGAATACACAAACGCAGTCATTTATTAAAATTTACGTTAAAATTATTCGTCGATTGCAGTGGGTCATTCTGAATGATTCCTAATTCCCTAAACATTCATCTCAGTTAGTAGTATAGATTTATGTGGTCTATTTGAAAATGGTTTATACAACAGAAACCATAAAACATTGTGCAATGACTTCATTTCATTTTGGAGTTCTAAACGTCAAATGCACGTTTGACGAAGTTGATGGTAAAAACTAGTTTATTTTGTATAGATCTCATTAAGACATAGCATTTAACATTTCAAAACAAAAACTTGAACAATTTGCATGATAGTATGCAGAGTGAATTAATTACACTTGTCTATGACTAAAGATTTCAATCTTCTGAAACCTTGTGCCACTTTCACACTCAGTAAACATAATTCTTGGCAAAAATACAAACAAACCAAATGCTTACTTGTTTTGGATAGGTATGAAACGTGAACTGTGGACCCATCCAAACACGACGTAATGGTCCTAAATGTGTAGTTATTTCAACTTGACTATACCAATAGGAAGCAACATCTTCAGCAGTCCATCCAGAAGGAGTGACAATATTATCATCTGTATCATGATGATCATCATTCTTTTCTTTATCGTTATCTTCAATGTTTGTTTCTATTTCTAACAATTTAGATTTGGTTTGATGAGTATTGGTTAGATGTGAATTAGATTTCAAGGTTGATGTGGTTTTTTCATTTATGGATGAAGATG